ATTTACATAAACAAACATGGTTACATAAACATCAACGAAATTAATATTTTCTCTATTTAGAGGTAAAATAATATTCTCAATTAAGCCTTTGATAAAGGATAGTAACAAAACATCGAATATTAGGGATTGCTCAGAAAATTTCATAACAAATACCAAAGTCCCATTCCGACCCAACTTTCGGTCGATTCCCAAAATCCAACATACTCTCGCATAACTAACTTACAACATAATTTAATTTCCCGCTTAAGCCTTACTAAAGACCATAGTGTAGAAAATCATATTGTCGTGAACTAACTCTGTTTATTGGGCTTTAACTTCTATACCAAAGTTACGAAACAGGCGCGAATTATACCAAGGCCGTTTTCCTTTTAATCCATTTTCGTTGGTTTCAAGTTTCTTTACGAAAGAACGGTTTGTCATAACCGTCACAATTGGGATTAGAGTTATCCTATGCAATCTAAAAAGTAAATTCTCGAATATTTTCCTTGTTTTATTCAGGGAAATGAACATTCTCTAAATAAAACTGTAAACGTGATGATGTCAAGAGATTTTAAGTAGCGCAAAATATTTTCTTTTAATCCGTTGTCGCTAGTTTGAAGTCTCATTGAGAAATAAATGTTTGTCACAATTATTATACATTGTTGATATTCGAGTTAGCTACCCTATTTGACAAGAAACTTCGTATTTATCACAGGAATCAATCAGCATTCAGAATAAAAAGCATAGTGAACGTGATGGCTTTACGTGCTATTTGTCTTATTAATGAAATAATATTACTTTCTTATTCAATATAGCATAAAGATATTGTTGTCTATCAACATACATATTTAATCGTTTCTACCAACTACTACGGGAGATATGACGGTATTCTGTTCAATATGGGTCATATTTATTCCGGTTGTCTCACTGGAATCATTAGTAAATTTTCTACACTATATCTAAAAGTGTATCCGTTTTCGTAATCCTGAATAATGGTAGTTATGTTAAACGCATTAGGTTCAATTCCAACTGTTTAGCGAATCCCACTTCTGATTTATATTTTGCCCGGATTATTCTTCCGCACCTTTTCTATTGTTTTCGTTGTTTCAGTGGAAAGTTTTAAGTGAACAGTTTTGTCGATTTTAAGTGGAATTGAATTATGCTTTCGGAAGTAAAGAAGATGCTATGGTTAATATGTCTGCTAGGAACAATAAATATAAATACAAGTATAAACTACGGTTCGGTTCGGTTTAATATAATATAAAATAAATGAAAAGTAATGTAAGCTTGTTTCCATTATAGTATTACTGATTCAATATAATAATTACGTTTTACCGCCCACGGCTGATCAACATTCTTGTGTAGACGAAAGTACGCTATGACAAGTCATAGCGTGTCATATTAAATTGTACTAAAAACCTATGCGTTTTAGAGAAAAAATTTTGTTAAAACTTGCTTTTGCCATTAGAAAGTTCAATGGCACTAACATGTACTTGTATCATTTCTTACAAAAACGCCGGTGTCCACTTAGATTATCTTAGATTTTAAAGATATTATCTTAGAGTAACGTCCACAAATATGTGTGTGTAAAACATTGAATTTTGTTAGTACGTTATCGATACTTCTCTATGAAGAAGCAGTAGGTGGTAACTATATAATAAAGCACTTGAAAATTGAACTACAAACCACGTCGTTGGTTTTTTGAAATCCATGTAGCAACTATTCTAACTGGGGTTCCCCACCCCTGCTAGATTAGTTTAGTTTAGTTACTTCCTATGCTATGTCCTACAGATTTCTCATGTAGGGTACAGTGGAAGATTTACAATCTTATTTGTGTTGCAAAAACGAGCGATTCGTTCTGTGTTAGGATCTCGGGTTTCTCATAAAGGGAAAGGTTTATTATTAGGGAAATGGTACCATGACTGTAGCATCACAGTACATTTACTCAAATATTTTGTATGTCCATAAAATTATACTTAATTTCATTAAGAAAGAAGATATTCATAATATTGATCTTAGAACTAAGTCCAAACTCATGGTATCACGATTTCGTTTAACAAAGGTAAACGATTCTTTTATGTGGAACTATATACGTTTTTACAATAAGATTCGGAATATGTATTAAAGTTATCATTTCCTAAGTTTGAAACTTACATTAAAAGTATTTTAATTGAAAAGTTATATTACAAAATTGAAGACTACGTGTTAAATAAATATGTATGGAAACACGACAAGGGTCTAGATTCCACACAGATTAGATTCGAAGTGCATAGCATTTAAGTTTATTTGATAAGAGCAATCCTTAGAGTTTTTTGCTCGTTCTTCTCAGGGAAGTCAGCACAGTGAACGAGCAGTAGGTTAAACAATTTCATTTTTATTTATTTTACCTATGGAATAAATGATGCTTTGACTTTGACCAGTACTATTATTATTTTCATATTCAATTGTACGGTAAACGCCGTTAATATCCATGAATGTGTTAATCATGTTCTGTTCATTCTTGACTCTTGATAGGTTGATAAAGTTAAAACCCATTGTTTTCAGTGTATTGACCTTACCAGAGAGTTTTGAAATTAATTGCACGCAATATATTGCTGGCTTTGTCACATATATTTCTGTGTCCGTGATTGTGCTGATTTTCCCTACACTTTAGTTCACCACTTTGAGCTCTGGCATCCGCAAAAGCAAAGGTGGTAATACCGGTTAGATTCTTGCACAGAGATGATAGTACCACTAGCACAAAGTCTTCTTCTTCTTAATCACTTCCTCATTGCTGAGGATCGTGACTCCCCTTCATCCTGCCAGCTATTTGCCTCTATCGGTTGCGCTCAATCGCATGGTGTAGCACGGTGCTAACAGGTAGCTCCAGTTGTTCGGAGATCTAATCATATCACCTTTTGGAACTTCTGCATTTAGATCTCTTTTCCTCCACCTTCCCTGTCACGTTACCAAAACAGCGTATCACATTCTACATGCAAGTTGAAGACAGACGCTGTGCATTCTTTATCTTGAGTTCCTCAAGTAGCAGAAAGTAGTCACAAACAATTTGTTAACAATTTCCACCATAATTATACAATTTCCACAAAATATTATAGGCATATGATTTCATATTTTCCCTTAGGAGTTAAAAGGCAGAACTATTGTCGGTATAAATCAAACAAGTTTCAAACTATTCCGCCGGTTAACGACTCCATTCATAACTCGCCAAGTTATGGCTTGTTCGCAGTTTTAAACGCGCCCCCAACTAGTTTATAGCTTTTCGGGTTACGAGACCTTTTTATCGGAAAAACTAGGAAAGCGACACGTTTGTAGATCGAATTAAAACTTTGTTTGAAACACTTCCATTTATAAATGAAAGGGTTGAAAATTGTGTAATGATATAATATGTAGGTATTACTTATTACGCTGAACAAATCGTTGCGATAAAAGCTTTGAGTACCACTGCAACTGTTGCTAGTAAGCGTGTCGCTTACAACTAGGCGCTTGTTCGTATCAACTGCAACGTCCTGCCTGATCAGATTTAGGGAAAGAACGAAGAACCAGATAGCAATCACACATACTAGAAAGGACCTTCTTTCTCAAGAGCAGTAACGGGTTTTACGATATAAATGAACCTTCCTGTAATGAAGCGACTAAAACTTAAAAATCTAAGCACCTATAAATCGTGTCGGTCTGTTGTATTAGCTGTTAGGTAACAGTTATTTATTGTTTAGTGCGCGGAAGAAAAAACAATGGAAGTGCTTTAAGCCACGAGTACTATCAGAACCGCTGTCGTCAAAACTCACATAATCGTAATTACTTACATGTTACTGATAATGATTGGTCTTCTTTCTAATTTAAAAAGATGTAACAAATTCTGGATAATTATATAATTTATACTTTACCCAGTTGGTATATCGTTGAAAGTTACGTATTGCATGTTACGACGTCTTGATTTTATAATTGAAATTTTATCCCATTTGCTGCCATCTAGCGGCAATAGCTGAAATACAAACGATTTACGCATATAAACAATTTCCAAAAAAATTTGGCCATATTGCAGCAGCATATTATAACATTTACTTTCGTTTCTTATAAGAAAAAATATTACGATAAACTGAAAATGGAAAATTTATTAAAATTAAATAACATAAGATTTAATTTAAATTGATGGTGATTTACAGATGCGACTATAATTTTTGCACTTCAAAATAGCAAAACAAAGGCACTTCTGCACGATTTTCGAGGTTTTACGGATAATTGACACGACCGTAACGTACAATGCGAAAATGGCGGACTGGGCTCTAGTATATGGAACTGCGCGTACCGTTGGCACGCGTGTCCCGCCCATTAAGCACATTTGCTGTTTTTGTTATGTATCTGTAGATTACCTTTGGTCCATCTTCGTAACTGTTTATCATAACTAGTTACGAAAGAAGATTTTTCCTTCACTGTTTCGTAACTAGTTATTAAAAAGGAATATTTTGGTCCATCTTCGTAACTGTTTTTCATAACTAGTTACGAAAGAAGATTTTTCCTTCACTGTTTCGTAACCAGTTATTAAAAAGGAATATTTTGGTCCATCTTCGTAACTGTTTTTCATTACTAGTTACGAAAGAAGATTTTTCCTTTACTGTTTCGTAACCAGTTATTAAAAAGGAATATTTAATACGTATTCAAAACTCCAGTTACGAAAACGGATGCAAATTTATTCTTTCCATAACCAGTTACGTAAAAGGCTTACTTTTTTCTCTTTTTGTATCTAGCTACGAAAGTGGATGCTTTTAATCTTCTTTTTATAACTAATAAAATGCAAAAACCAAATAATTTTTTTTTGTTTTTTTTTTATTTGGTTTTTGAAGCAACTGATTTTCGCTTCCTTAACTAAAATATCCAGTACCTTCGCTAGTGAAGGGTTTTGGCATCCTACATATTTATTAAGTCTGGCATGCCAGCCTTCAAGATTGTTAGTTTTCCTAACTTCTTCACCATAACAACACCACCTTAAACTGTCAGAATTAACACAAACCATTTGTTTTCAGGCGAGCCACCGATAAGGTCGCGGTATGCTCGCTTACTTATCCTGATGCCACCAGAACCACCCAATATACTTCAAGGCCCTGTACTGCAGGCTGTCGAAGACCGAGAAGTCAATTTGGAATGCGTGTCTGTTGGAGGAAAACCAGCGGCTGAGGTACAATTTTCTACTAGCTACATTCACAAAGTTCTTATAGTTGTAGTAAAGGCGAGAAAGATAATGCGTCTTAACCTGTTCGAGCAAAGGAAGGATTTTAGATGGCTTTCAAAATACGGAAGTGGAAAGTAAAATAAAAGTATCCATATACAAAGCAAATAATTTTAGAGTTGCATGACAATGAACAGCTGTTATGTCAAATAATTATGTAGTTTTGACTATAAAAACTTTGTTATGGGAACTGAACTATCGGGTATCAACCAACAAATGTTTTTTTGTATGTAATCAACAAATGTATATGTGATATCAGTTATGTAGATATCGGATAAATGATTTAAGAAGTTTTCGAACGGTGTTAAATTTGTTAGAGAATTAACCCATAATATTGTTGCAGATAACTTGGGTAGACAACGACGGAGGAGTTCTAACTCAGGGCGTCACATATAATGTGGAGCAGATGCCAGATGGACGCAGATTCACTGCCCGGTATGTTACAATGTTATCAATGTTAAGTACGTAATGTTACTACCTCCCTAGTTAACGGTTACCGTATTGTTCTGCCGCGCAGAAATCCCGAGTTTGATACCCAGACAGGGAGAACTATTTGTATGGCCTATATTTAGATCATACAAATATGTATAATATGAAATGAGGTTCTCAATTCGTGCTGTATTTTTGTGTGTGTATGTCACACAATTGCTACGACGTTTGTGAACCGATTTCGACGATTCTTTTTTTTATTGGAAAGGGGGTACATCAGTAGTGGCCCCATTTAAATTTAAAGAAAATATTCTACCTCTTAGGATGACAAATGAGGGAATGAGTTCGGTTTATTGCGTTTCACCCATTTTACGTTAACTGATTTCAATGAAACTTTGTATATAGATGTAATTCTAATGAAAATAAAATGCCGCGAAAACGGATAAACAAACTTTTGAGGTATTTTTTTTTCGAATAGAACATTTTTATTGTAAACTTATTTTCAAGTAAAATAAGATTATTTTTTTTAAAACATGCGTGATATTTAAAAAAATAAAAACATTTAACGCACTTTATTCCTAAATAAGCCCTCATTATACATCACGATGTAGACAATATCTTTAAATTTCATGTGACAACGGACACTGTATCATTTGCAAAAGCTTTCTCTATTTTTAAGTGATGATATCAAAGAACCGTATTTCCAACAAATAATTATTTTCAGCTCAATCCTCCACCTCCGTCCGCGTAGACACCACCACAACCAAACGTTCACCTGTCAAGCGCAGAACACGGCTGATAGAGCGTATCGAGCCGTTTCCATTAAACTAGAAGTAAGTAACTCTCAAACTACACTATTAGACAAATAACGTTCAGAATACTGGCGGCAATACGGTGTTTGACTCTCTTGGACTAAACTATATGCTTAAACGGATTTACTTTGTCACTATATTTATGTTTAGGCATATTGTATCTTATAAAGATCCCTGTGTCGCTGGTTCATATCCGGCTCGAAGGACCAAAACGTATGGGCCACCTTACTCCAGACATGGATTGTAGTGGTAGTACATTACCAACTGTTCACCGATACACTACATCAAAGAAAGATTTGCCACCATAATACCTGTATTTTACGTATACCAACATACTTACTAACTGCCTCCGTGGCCGAACGGTTACCATGCCGGAATGCCAGGCAGAGGTCCCAGGTTCAATTCCCGGGTCGGGAGCAATATTTGTATGGTCTACATTTTTTATGTTGAGTGTGTGCGTTATTTATTTATTTCTATCGTGAGTTTGGGTGTGATTTGTGGTTGTCTATGTGTGTCTTCATAGCATCCGCAGGGTTTTCCTAGTGCAGGACTATGTTGAGTGTGTGCGTTCTTATTATTATTACTTTTACCATTTATTTTCACATAGTCACCAAGTCTTTCTCTGCGTACTACAACTACAATCTAGGTATGGAGTAAGGTGGCCCATACAAATATACCAATAAGTCAACAATACTGCGAATTGCGAATTGAGATAGCGTAGGTCTGGTATCTAGTACCTATTGTTATACCAGATGTCGCGACTAGCACAGAATAGTTATTTTTGTGACTAATTTGTTTTATATTGACGAGCTGCAATTTATCAAAGCAACTGTAAGTTCTAGTGATAACAGACAAATTAATTAGATGATTACTAGAAGCTTATTTTTTAATTAAATTTTTATTGAATTGGTATTCAATTATTTTTTGTGAAATTACTCCACTAGTTTGTTACAATTATTAATACAAAGATCGAACACTCAGAAAAAACACTCAGAAAAAATTCTTTCGATCCGGTCGGATCCGAACCGACGTCTTCTTGCATACCGTGCCAGACGCTATACCAACTAAGCCACGGAACGAACCAACGGACGTCACGAATTTTTCTATGTGCTTGCGTCGTGTCTTTGTACTTGGTTTTTCAACGACTTTTTAGTCGTAGCGCCATCTATGAGAAATCGTTGACAGATTTATCACCCAGTTAGTACCTTTACAGCTACCAGTCCTGGCGAAAAGATGTCGCTATTCACTGTATTAATTAAATTTTTATTGAATTGATATTCAATTATTTTTTGTGAAATTGCTCCACTAGTTTGTTATAATTATTAATAGAAAGATCGAACACTCAGAAAAAAATCCTTCGATCCGGTCGGATAGCTTATTTTTTTATAATATCAAGTGACGGGACGAATAAGTCGTTCACCTGATAGTAAGCTGCAGGCCTGTCCATAACAATTGCAGTGCTACTCAAGAGCTTTAAAACGCAAAGATCCGAGGGGCACTGCAACTGCGCCCGTCACCCTGCGACATAATTGACAAGTCCCATGTGCTTGTATTTTCACCAGCACCCTTAACCCTTCAAAACCGGAACACAGTAATGCTGACATTACTGCTTGGCGGCAGAAATAGATAAGGTAGTAATACTTCCCTGGACGAACTCTTTCACAAGGAGCTCTACTGCTAGTAATTATAGCACGATTCCAGGACCGGGAGAAATATTTGTATCGCCTATATCTATTTATCTTGTGAGTTTGGGTGTAATTTAGGTCCATTATGGTATCCGCGATACAAGGTTTCCCCAATGCGGGTCTGTGAGTGTGTGCCTTATTATTATAGGTGTTTGAAATTCGTTTTTGACTAACTGAATTGTTTCTTTCTTTCTTAGTAATATTTAGCTGTTGATCTTACGTGGAAGTTGAGGCGCTTGAACCATACAGCTTAGTTTAGCTTATTTAGTAGTAACGAGGGTGTTTTAGTTGGGTAGGTAGGTTAAGGCTCAATTTATATTGCGGCGGAACGGCATGGAAGCGTTTTCTTTTACGATATTGTAACTTTATGATCAATTGTGTAACGGACAAACTAGATACGAGCCAAAATCTTCCGAAGATTTTGGCTAGATCCTGTGTGGTTAAAACGTTAAAATATTGACAGCAATTGGCAACGTTTTTGTTTTACCTTTGACAATTAGGTTTCGTTTTAGGTTTAGTTTTGATTTTTTTTGACAGTTAGCGCGACGCGAAATGTATGCAATGTGTCACATTAGCGACGTTTCGCTTGTGGTTTACCGTTGACAATCAGAGCGATTGGCCACTTGTTCGGGCTTGCTCGCACCGGTCATAGTCCCCTTCTCGTATACCCTGAGGATCAGTAGGGTGAGTCACCATAAAGTTCAATATGCTATGTACAATATCGTTACAAAAATTCGCTTCCATTTCGTTCCGCTGCAATATAAATTGAGCCTTAAAAGCTTCGGATGCTACTAAACACTTTCGCAGGAAGAGTGCGCTATAGGAGAGAATCGACGCGAGCGTACGCTGAACTGAGGATCTATTAGACCTCGCCGGTGAAAACGGTAATCGGTATGGAGTATAATTGGCCTGTAAAGTGGCGAAAATAGTCAGAGTCGTTGAAGATTTTCGAAGATCGTTGGCTACTACGAGTGCGTTGAGATTGGGAGAAGTTTTACGGCTTATTAATCTGCAAAAGTTTATTGAATATCACAGCCGCCCTCTAACCAAAATGCGGCGAAGTGACAAAATATTTTTTGAGGTATCATAAAAAAACCATAACCCAGTTTTGAATGTTGGAAATGTTTAATGATATTTCAGCTATTTATCGTTAAGGTAAGTTCCGATAAGTCGAGCACGTTAACTAATTGTGACTGTTTTAGAAGAGAGTTTTGTGCTCTATTTTTTGCTATTTAAAACGGATAATTAACCATTTGTCTCTTAACCGCGTTATAGTTAGTGGACGGCAGATCACAATGTTTTACTACCATGATATTCAATAATTCAACTTCAACTGCCTCCGCGACCGAACGGTTACCTTGCCGGACTGCCACGCATAGGTCCCAGGTTCGATTCCCGGGCCGGGAGAAATTTTTGTATGGCCTACATTTATTTCTCTCGTGAGTTTGGGTGTCGTTTGTTTATGTTAAGGTTGTATCCATCGCACCCGCGACACAGGGTTTGCCTAGTGTTGTACTATGTTGAGTGTGTGCGTTATTTTTTTTTTGTGAAATCGCTTCACTAGTTTATTATAATTATTAATACAAAGATCGAGGCCGAATAAGGAAGACTTTCACAGATGGCGCCACGGCAAAAAAGTCGTTAAGAATCAAAAACAAACTTCTGCCACAAGTACATAGAAAAATTAGTAAAGTCTGCTGGTTCGTTCCTTATTTGAAATACCATAAGGAACTTTTTTCTTTACAACAAATTCTCCCTTATGTCATTTTAAATTTCCATCGTAATACTGAAGGCGCTGATACGAATACAGCCGGATCGAACGAAGTTTTCTTATTGTTCGGTCTTAGTAGACCTGTGTGTACGTCTCCGTATATTCCAAAAAAATATTCTGTGTTTTTTGTAATAAAGATAATATCTCTAACAATGCCGTGCTGTTCAATTTGGTGGTGTGGGAAAAACAGCAAAACATCTAATTACAAAACAAACAGAATCACATTTCATCGGTAATTAAATATTAAATATGTAATTTTGCAATTTTCGTCCATTATAGCAAAGCTCAAGTTAACTGATCGATTTGAAGTGAAACAGTTGACGACACCCATTGACGACACCCGTCAATTGTTTCGAACTCGAGCTGGCCAATCGGAGCGTAGTTGTCACAGTAATGATATGGCAGAATAGTTTTCAAACAAATTAAATGACATTTCGTCTCTATTTCTGGTTATATGAGTATATAACCAGAAATAGAAAAGATGGGTGGCGTACACTATACAGGCAAGTAATTTATGATAAACGTTGCCATTTAAAAAAAATCGCTAGGTGGCTTGCGTTATGATATGAGGTGTCCTAAGAAGGAATTATTCAAAACGATTACGATACTTGTCAAAAAGTACTAATACCTGAAAAATATCGAGTAAAAAAGTATCGGTATCGGAGGGAAAGCACTCGATACCAAAAAGTATCGATACTTTTTCCGTGTCCGTAGCTCCCATTTTTCGGGACAAGTTACGATTACTTACGAGAACACCTCAGAGTGAATGTCTTTTTGTAAGATTCGCACCCACTGGGACTTGTCGCGGACTCTGCGTCGCGCTTGCATCTAACGCAACGGGCCGTTTTATTGGACATATTTGTATTATAAGCTTCTACAATAAATCAAGTTATCTTCACCGAAGTACGCCGTTTGATTCCTGGACGTACTAAGAGGACACCAGCTAGCCGAGCAAACCTCTAGCCTCCTTCCTACTACAAAAACTAATTAGAAAATAAACATGAAAAAAAATTAGGTGTATTTTGAACGGGAAAATTCAAAAATGCAATAAACAAAATTACGGTAAAAGCGTTTATTCGGTGAGGCCGTTCATATGGGAAAATCGGTAATCGATTATCGCTTACACTACACAGGCAGTAGTGACATTTGGTCCCGCCGGCTTGTGCGAATCGAAAATTTCGTCGACCGTAAAACTGCCTTTCGGGCACGTACGCACCGTAGCCATTCATGTACTGACATTGTGATAGACAGAGAATAACAATGATAGACATAATCAAAAATCGCGAATGGAATCGAAAAGCTAAGCTACCAAGAATTTGAAATGAATTGAAATTATGGTTTATTTTTTCCTCACAAACATAAAAAAGCTTATGAATGTATACAACCTCAAATGGCTTTGGTTGATTCCGCATGACAGTAAAAGTGTTGAATCAATCCATCGAGTATATAACCAGAAATAGAGACGAAATGTCATTTAATTTGTTTGAAAACTATTCTGCCATATCACTACTGTGACAACTGCGCTCCGATTGGCTAGCCCGAGCTCGAAACAATGACGCGTGTCG